ATAGGCCACTCCCTAGTGCACAAAGTGACCAAACGTACAGGAGACATTTTAACCCCAAAATCACATGTTTTGAATCCCTTTTTAAAATTCTTTACCATACAACCTAAGGGATCCGAAATCGTTGACTCTGACGCGCCCATACTTATCAATGGAGCGTCGTTGACAACGAATACTATGCACGCGTTCTTATTCAACAGTCACACCCGTTTCCTCTGGCAACAGCACCACGTGGTACAGTTACCGAGTGAAACGTACACAATAACACAATAATCACTCAGGGAATTCCCGTACACACACAGCTGTTACACCAGTCACTAAATAATCAATATTATGCCCTTTGGCGAAACTATACAGTCACCCACGCTATAATTCTCTATATATGAATTACCCGTCTATAACACACCCCAGTAACATCGTCTTTTACTAGTATCGGTTACAGTACGGTTAGCATAGGTCAAAGCACAATTTAAGGTCACAATACAATTATTAGTGGTTACGGTGTTAAACATGCAATAGACGACAATGATTAGTACTTATATACAGTGTCAGTAAATATACAGGGTTATGGTACCGTGCACTATGATACAGCAACACACTATTAACACTCTCGCTAGACGGCTGAGCTCGCGCTATCTAACAAGATATACACTTTACTAACAATCTTTAACACATTTACAATCCCAACTAAACTATTGGCCAGTACCTTGAATGGACTACCTAAAACTATATACACCCGTTTTGGTTAGCCACACTGCCCAAACACCACATATAGCGAACTAGAGGGCGAAATTTACAAAATTGCCCTTCTAGTCTATTTACTCTATCAAAAGTCTAGTGGGTTCCAAATTTACACGCCTTCCCACTTAGCCAAGATAGGTTGAGAGCTAGCGAACCGAATTTACACAGGCGCCGCTTAGTCTCCCGGTCCCTCCGACCTAGCGAACGTAATATACACCCTAGAACGCTAGTCTAGACAAGACACCGGTGTCCGGCTAGGGCTATTTACACAGGACCCCGCCTGACTAACCAGATCAAACGGTCTTACTAAAGAGCGTTCGATCGAGCGGTGCGCCTTCGCTCCTTCCCTCCGACAGAGGGGGCAGATTCCATACACAGATTTAAACCCCTTTTGGGCCTACCGCACAATCGGTATACCCCTAGTGGGTCTGCCGTCTAAAACAGCAGTTGTCTTACCTCCTCGTTCCTGAACCTGAGTTCACACTCATCGACGGGGACACCCCAGCACTTCTTACGTAGAGGCCGATGATCTCCTGGACAACAGACCAGTGGCGCCGAGACGAAGGGAGGTCCACGCAGAAGTTCAGGGGTGCAGCCGTAGAGAACGTGGGCAAAGATAGACCGTCTCACGCCTCTGCCTCTCAGCTACCGTTGAACGATGAGCTTCCCGGCCAATGCACCAAATGATACCGGAGAAACTGACGGAAGCAAAGCACAGAGGGATGGACACAGGTTTCTTCAGGAAGGAAGAGATTCTTTATTGGATCACCGATCGGGACTCAGAGGGACTAATGTCACCAAAAATACAGCAAGTTCTGAGCCCTGAACAATAGTGCAGGCTCCCTATATAGGCACATAACTCCTCCCATATTAAGCTCCACCCGCACATTCTCTTGACCAATCATTACAAATAAGAATTAACTTCCTGCTTGACCGCATGGCTTGTCCAGCACAATGGAGGAGGGGAATACTACATCCTGTATTCTTGCACATGCTCCGTACACTACTGATCGTATCTTGCCTCGTGCAACCAACTGATCGATACGTCAGCATATGCACGTACACATTCCACGTGGTAATCTCGGCCTACTAAATTTATTTTTACCGAGATTCCACCACATCTCCACACTGGAGGGGTGGCATTAGAGAAAAAAAATTAGCTCAGAGAGAAACATTCTGGATTCACAAATTACAAACCCTTACACCTACAGGATTAAATGTGGATATAGTTCTGGTGTGTTTCTTGAATTAATGTAGGGATAAAAAATGTTTTTAAAAAAAAAAAAAGTTTATTTAAAGTAGTACATTTTTGCTGAGAAATCTTTTAAGATTAAATTGAGGTATAAATAAATCACAACTAGAACAATAAGATTTTAAATGTCCTTTTTTCCACAAATTAATTACACACTGAAACAAATATGTTGCACATTTTTAAAAAGAGTTATTGTCTTAAATAATAAAATCATCTGTAACGGATCACCTGGCACCCCGACTGGGTACCTCCGTTGAAAGATGCTCCTAGCGCTTCCAGAGGACTCCAAGCACTCCACCAGACACCATAAGCACCGCAGGCTGCAGCTATCTCCCTTCAGAACGAAGCAGGAACAAGCTCTTACAAGAGCTCAGTGATTATAGCAAGGGAATATGCCTAGCATAGCAATCCCTTGTAGCAGATTCCCCCAATAAGAGACAGGACTCAAGTTGAGGGTAAAAATAGAACTCCCTGGCTGCTAGCTTGCAGCCCTTTTTATTAGGTGCTCCCATGAAGGGGAGGGACACACACAGTAACGTACATTAACCAATCACACAATAGTTACATCCCACACATAGCCCTCCCCTCTACCTGTAAACTAATTATCTGTACACACAGGGAAATACAATTATCATAGGTAGGGAAAATACAGTTTTTACACAACATTCATAACTCCCAAAATATACATCACATTCGCATAAAAATACATATTCACAATCAATCCATTCAGGGGAACAACATATTAAAAAATGGCATGAATCAGACCAGGGGTTCAAAAGTTAGTAAAAGTATCTTTTGTTCCCCCTGGCTCAAACAGTAAAAGTAAAACATCCCCACAATGCATCCTGGCTTCCTCCCTTCTGCCCTGGAGATAATTGGAGAAGGAATCTAATTATCTCCAAAGACAGAGCCAAACTCCATTACCCACATGGCAGACAAAAAGACAGTAAAAGACATAAAATTACATACTGACACATTTAGTACATAAAACACACATTTCTACATATCCCCAGATAGCTTGGATCTGACTGCACATTATTAGATGAATGGCACTCAGATCACACGAATAAGCCTTTCTGCAGGGAAAATAAACAGTTTAACCTGCAGGGCCATAGTCCAAAGGCAAGAGGCGGGCAAGCAGCCCCCTCCAAGGACACGTGGCGAGGTCGGTTTTGCCACATCATCTATAAAGGATTACTTTTTAGGTTTTTTTTAAATAAGGAGGATAAAATGACTTCAGCTTTATTCTGTAAATTAGGGCGATATATGTATGATGTGAATCTCAAGATATACACCAATAGACAGGATCCATAAAATTATGGATATAAAATAAAATATATATAAAAAATATGAAAAGAAATATTGAAGAAATATAATTTATTCTATTTATTAAAAAGGTTGCAAGACAGCTAATTTGGACAATTGTCTATTGGTGAATATAAGGGGAATAAGATTTAAATGTATGGCTTTTAACTGTTAAGTCAACTTTGACGTTTTTTTCCTTTGCATGTATTGATTAACATGTTTGAAGTGCATTATTTCTGGCTACCACCAGATGGCAATGTAGAGATTTTTAGAAATGGAATGCAATGGAACGCACGGCCATATTCAATGGAACGCAATGGAACGCACGGCCATATTTGATTCTAAAAACGTGTGGAACGCACGGAAGTGCGTCATAAAGAGAAGACATCCATGGACATAGGAAGCGTGTCATCATGGATGGATGCACAAATCGCCGTGAAAATAAACAGCAATGGATAACAGCTGAGACATCATATGGAGGTAATTCATCAATGGATAAGAGGTCCAATGAGAGAGAAACTTGAGTGCACACCCACTACACCACCAATGGACTTCCAGCACTTATTGTATTTAAGGGAAGTTAGGGAGGGAAGCACTAAACTTATGGATACACTTGTTAGCATTTGCAGTGTATTAATTGTATGTATTTTATTTTTTGGTCCCTGAGGAAGTTTCCTTAGGGGAACGAAACGCGTAGGACCATTTTATCTAATTATTTTTTATATATGCCAATAAATCAACTGTTTTCTACATCCATCCATTGGAAGAGTGTCAACTTCTTGGTTTCCAGATTTGGTGATTACTACATCCAGCAGGATATACCCCCCTATTTACAGGGGTGGCAACCTGAAGGCTCATTACATACAACCGACCTGTGAGTGTAACCTTGAATCATTGGGCAATTAATAAGACTACAACAATATTACACTATGTTGTACTTTTTATTTGTGTTTTAGTGATACAAGCTGGATCCCTATTTTATATGCACTATATAATGTCCTATATATAGTTACCAATTTGGGAGGTAACTGAAGGGAAGCGAGTATCCAAAGTTAAGTTTATTACTTTTTATTCCACAGGTGATTTGGTGGAAGCTATTTTGTACTATATTTTAAACACTATTGTGTAAATTATTTTTAATTTGTAAAAAAATTTTTTTTTTTTTAAAATACCTCTGGTGAATCGTTTTGGCTATTTAAAACACCAGTCCGGAGAAGGGGGAACTTTAGCCCTGTATTTGAAATCGTGGGCGGCACCCATGGGGCGCTTTTATCATCTTTATTCTGTGAGTACAACCAATAATTTGCATTTGTCTCCTATCTTACAATATTACACCATGTTATATTTGTGTTCATAGGACCATCAGCAAGATCCCTAAAACGATGAGTATATATACAATACTAAATGTCCTGCTATCCTCTGTAGTGGAGATAAACTCTTCCCACACATCCTCACAGTGGATCACTCTATAAAATTACTGGGCCAAAGACATGGACTTAAAGTGCCTACTATGGATGCCTAAACACGTACACCGAACGTACTCCCCACTACAACGGTGCTTCTGTTGACTTGGGACACAGCCCATGCTGTGCTATACACCACTCAACCTTGGTCACAGGCTGCACCAATACTCAGTCTACATATAGCCAATTCAATGATTGATCACTGAAAGTAGGTAAATGGGGCCATATTCTCATACCTCCAATTCATATTTATGCTGATCTACCGGAAAACTAACTCTAATGAACCAACACCGAGATCAGTGATTGAGTCAGCATGTCTTGCACCAACCCTTTCAAAGAAAATACTTTATATGTGTTACAACCCACTTAACACAGGAGACAAGAAAACACTGGATACATTTGACCTAGCATGGCAGATTGACTTAAAACAATAATTTGATATATTGCAATAGCCGTAAGCATTCATTGCACACAAAAGGAGAACGTTCTGCACCTTACACTTAGAATTGCTGAGAAAACTATTCCATAGTTGGTATATGGTGCCAGTTAGACTGGCCAAAATCTTCCCGGGCACGAATGACACATGCTGGAGATGTAGAGCTGGCAAAGGCACAATATAACACATATGGTGATCCTGTAACCACATTCAAATATACTGGCCAATGGTAGAGGGCATTCTCTCGCATGTACTACAAAATGAAATTACACTCACACCAGGCCTGAGCCTATTGCTTTTAAACCTCGAAAGTTTTCCTGACTGGAAAGCAATTTTTATATTTCACACACTTGTAGCAGCCCTGGCACTGATTGCATCAAATCTCTAGCAACTATGAGCCAGAAGACAGTATAGAACACACAATCTTCTGGAATGCCAAAGGAAAATGGGATGCCCATATAAACACACTAGAACACCAAGACAACTAACACATCTCTGAAAATTCCCACTCTATGGTCGATTGACCAATATAATCCCTACAACGAAATATGAACCTGCCAACTTATCCATACTCATACTCAGACAGGGCAGGCACCCAAAGTGAATGACCCAGCTTGGGAAAGACCCTAGGATTCCTACAATAAAACATTATGATACAGCCGCTAGAATCCAGAGGGCAAAGGGTGTCTCAACTCTATGGTACCCTGCTTACAATCACTATATGAGATCAGAATGGCTTACCTGCTTCACACTCAGAGAAGCCCCTCTTTGCCCCTCTCTACTAACACCCCAAATTGTACATAGTTGGTGACAATGTATATGCAAGCTTCCTAGAATAAACGGCACAAAAGTCCCCAGTCAGAGTATCTAACATGGGGCCTCCAGCACAGAATCTAACCTAGCTCTATTCAACAATAAGTAAATCTTAAATGTGCAAAAGTTATACGATAGACCACCAATAGGTACTGTAGACACCTGTGGCCCGCTAAGATACACACTGGGCCATAAATATCTTGTGTGAAGATTACAAAGTTTTTTCTCTCTCTCCCCCCTCACTCTGTGATCTTCATACAAGATATTTACTACCCTCTGTGAGAATGGTGTCGATTTTCTATCAAACCTGTGTCTTATCTGCACTCATGTCGCTTTAACCCCTGTATCACAACTCAACTTTGAATTCTATGTGTTGTCTTGCTCAGAAATGCTTTAGACTTGAAAAAAGGAGGTTCTCCCGAAAGCTTGTCATTAAAAATGTTGTTAGTCCTATAGAAAAGGAATTACAAGATACAAATTGTATCTGTTTTTTAAAGCTAAACTATAGTTAGTTCTGTAGCATAGTAGCCGCTGGGTGTTATACTCGGTACCTGAACATGTTTAATGAACAGATTATAAAATACTGGTAGACTAGCATGCCCATCATGAGGTAAGATGTATCTACAACTTCATTACAGATATTTGCTAAATATAATACATACAAAAAATGGAGCTTCTAAGTGGTATTTTAACAGATATTCTGTAAAATAAAATTATACAACAATAGTACAGTATGTAAAATACTAAAAAAGTAAGATAAAAGAGTGATATCACTCACAAGCCTGGAGTCATAACCTCATATGACTCGGATAGTATGTGCCCTTGAACTGTGGGGATATTTATGGGATGATAATATTAAACAGTCGAGAATTGCCAACTTTTTCAATTCTCTTAGATCTTAGAGATTGTTTATCACGTAAGTGAAATGTATTCCATAAATAAAATCACAATTTGTTATAAAAATAGATTAAATTTATTGTAACAAATTAATTAACAAATAATATTAGGCAGCATGCATGATAATAATCAGCGAATATTTAGTATAACATAAGTATGCGTTCCAATGGCTAACAGCATCATCTGTCACTTAAGATAAGATTCATGAGGGTACTTCATGGACAAAAGTAAAGCTTCACACAGCGAAAAGCCATAAAACCTTGGCTAACAGTTAAATCAACTGAGTAACCCTTTCAATGCTGGCTAGATCCTCCTAGGCATATAGTATCCTATTCTCACGTGATTTTCAATCAAAATAACATTCAGACCAGCTCATTAATCATTTCCTGGAACCATCCAATAAGAATAATCTACCAGATTTTTACAAAAGCCGAATTTTAATTTGCCTAAAAAGATATGTTATCTTATTTTAGAGCAAATCAATACACCTGGATAAAAACAACGATCGGGAATGACATACCCGGAAGTTAAGTGATGAATGGTAGCGCTGGAATGCACGTTGCGTTCCATCAGACAAAACCCAGGAGTGAAAGGGTAACAGAAAATAATGAGCGGGCTATTTAAAGAAGAAAAAACAAACTGACTAAATTGAGGAAGTCTATTTGATAAGGCGAAACGCGTTTTGGACACTGTAAATAGACTATACAGCCTACCCAGAAGCCCATCTGGCAAATTTGATTGTTTTTATATTTTATTCGGATCAATAAAACACCTGTTTTTTTAAAGAAATTCTCCATAACCTGGCATTTGTATATTTTGGAGCCGGTTACGAGGAGGAAGGAGAAAAGGGGAAGAAAAAAACACTGATCACCTTGGAGAAGAAGGATCTGGACATCCTGAAATGGTCCAAGGGCACATACTATCTGAGTCGTATGAGGGTATGACTCCAGGCTTGTGAGTGATATCACTCTTTTAACTAAAATTATAGATCAGGGTGGTGCAGTAGACATTGCTTACCTAGATTTCAGTAAGGCTTTTGACACTGTTGCACATAGAAGGCTTATCAATAAACTGCAATCTTTAAGTTTGGATTCAAATATTGTTGAATGGGTAAGGCAGTGGCTGAGTGACAGGCAATAGAGGGTTGTATTAATGGAATATATTCGAAGCTTGGACTTGTCACCAGTGGGGTACCTCAGGGATCTGTACTTGGACCCATTCTCTTTAATATTTTTATTAGTGATATTGCAGAAGGTCTTGATGGTAAGGTATGTCTTTTTGCTGATGATACTAAGATATGTAACAGGGTTGATGTTCCAGGAGGGATAAGCCAAATGACAAATGATTTAGGTAAACTAGAAAAATGGTCAGAATTGTGGCAACTGACATTTAATGTGGATAAGTGCAAGATAATGCATCTTGGACGTAAAAACCCAAGGGCAGAGTACAGAATATTTGATAGAGTCCTAACCTCAACATATGAGGAAAGGGATTTAGGGGTGATTATTTCTGATGACTTAAAGGTAGGCAGACAATGTAATAGAGCAGCAGGAAATGCTAGCAGAATGCTTGGTTGTATAGGGAGAGGTATTAGCAGTAGAAAGAGGGAAGTGCTCATGCCATTGTACAGAACACTGGTGAGACCTCACTTGGAGTATTGTACACAGTACTGGAGACCGTATCTTCAGAAGGATATTGATACCTTAGAGAGGGTTCAGAGAAGGGCTACTAAACTGGTTCATGGATTGCGGGATAAAACTTACCAGAAAAGGTTAAAGGATCTTAACATGTATAGCTTGGAGGAAAGACGAGACAGGGGGGATATGATAGAAACATTTAAATATATAAAGGGAATCAACACAGTAAAGGAGGAGACTATATTTAAAAGAAGAAAAACTACCACAACAAGAGGACATAGTCTTAAATTAGAGGGACAAAGGTTTAAAAATAATATCAGGAAGTATTACTTTACTGAGAGGGTAGTGGATGCATGGAATAGCCTTCCAGCTGAAGTGGTAGAGGTTAACACAGTAAAGGAGTTTAAGCATGCGTGGGATAGGCATAAGGCTATCCTAAATATAAGATAAGACTAGGGACTAATGAAAGTATTTAGAAAATTGGGCAGACTAGATGGGCCGAATGGTTCTTATCTGCCGTCACATTCTATGTTTCTATGTTTCTATGTTTCTATCTTACTTTTTTAGTATTTTACATACTGTATTGCACTATTGTTGTATAATTTTATTTTACAGAATATCTGTTGAAATACTACTTAGAAGCTCCATCTTTTATATGTATTATATTTGTTTTTAAGTGGTGTAGGGGATAACACTTTTAGGTGTTAGAGCTTCCTATTTCACTCACCTCCATATTGTGCACATACCTTGTGGTATTATTTGCTAAATAGGTTTGTGTGGCCTAGGTCATATGCTTTCAAGGGGAAGGATCCTGCATGGGCTAATCTGGCTATGCCAGTTAGAAGATATTTGAGGGCCACTTTATTATTATTATTATTATTATATTTATAGAGCGCCGTCAGATTCCGCAGCGCTTTACAATGGGTGGACGAACAGACACGTAGTTGTAACCAGACAAGTTGGACACACAGGAACAGAGGGGTTGAGGGCCCTGCTCAATGAGCTTACATGCTAGAGGGAGTGGGGTATAGTGACACTAAAGGTAAGGGAAGTATTAGACTCATGACAGTTACAAGAGAGGAATCAGTCGGGAGCTATTAACAGTTTAATTGATATGCTTTTATGAAGAAGTGGGTTTTTAACGATTTTTTGAAGGAGTGGAGACTGGGTGAGCATCTAACAGAGGAGGGAAGCGAGTTCCACAGGAACGGTGCAGCCCTCGAGAAATCTTGTAGGCGAGCATCAGAGGTGGGAGTACAGACAGAAGATAGACGTAAGTCTTCAGCAGATCGTAAGGGCCTAGATGGGACATACTTGTGTATAAGGGACGATAGCCACTTGCACTCAAACAGAAAAATAAAAAGAAGAATACAAATTGGAGGTATTAATCACAGGTTGTGCAGTCATTCAGTGCTTTTCAGCAGTGGTGATCGGTTTGAGTCCCCGTAATAGTTCATGGCAGTCTGCCGATGCCCACCCTGGAGGCCCAAAAGGGCAGCCTGGAGTGGAGGTGCATCTTCATTGGAGTGCTGTTGTGCAGATGGTTAGCCAGTTGGCACTGAAAGGCAATTGACAGACCTTTGCGGGGGGTGGTAGGCCAAAACAAACCTCTGTGGGTTTTCTTACACGACTTGTGCTTCAGAGCCTTTAATTTCTTCCAGTGCGGGGTGCTGTATAAGGCCTTCCAGCTGCGTTGTGGATGCAGTCTTCAATAGTTTTGTTTGACTGACATCCGCCTGCGGGGACATTGTGCTGGAGCCGCAGTGGTTCTCTGCCCAGATGAACATTTGCATTTGGTTGCTGCGATACCTCTCTGGGTATCCTCCAGACCTCCAATGTTGACCAAGTGGTTGGTGCCACCATTCTCGAGTGGGCCTCCAATTTCACCCAGAAGAGATCAAAGATAGCCTCCAGTGTAGCCATGGATTTTAATGGTGAGTGCACCGAGTGCCATTGGCCCTGCAAAGTTAGACCATGTGATTAAGCCATCTCGCATAGCCAGGCCTCAGATCAGGGGTGTAGCAGGTCTCGCAAGTTTGATTTGTAGAAGATAGATGCAGCGGATACCAGGATAACCTCTGCCAGCCCAGGGGGGGGGGAGTAAACATGGCCCAGACTGTGGTCGTAGGCAGGAGACTGGCTACATCACTTATCCGACTGAGTAGAGCTAGAAAAGTCGGTCCATGAGGTTGTCAATGCTGTATCCACATATCAAGAGGCAATTTCAACTGCTTACGTTTGGGATTTCTCGGTTTATGAACGTATATCACACAATAATCTGAGGAGCTCCCTCAGCCTGTGTCCTGCTCATTCAGTGGTCAGGCCCCTCCCCCTGACCCCAACAATGTAATGTTTTGTGGACCCAGGACATACTTGAAAACGAGAGAAATCTCAATTTATCCATCCTTGTAATATATTTTATAAATAAATAAATACATTTTTTTATTGTAACATTATTTGTTGTTATAAATTAATGCTATCATGAGATTAATTATTTTATCAACGATATTCACTACAGAATTAATAAATCTCATGACTCTGTTCACTCTTGTACATATATAGACAGATAATATCTAATAATAAAAAATGCATAGTCATTCACATAGACATTATTTGGATAGATGTCATGCTTTTCAAGCACGTTTTATTATACACTTGTTCATAACTAGAAATTTTTTCTCCAGTATGAGATGTTGGGACAGTACAAATCTGTTCTCCTGAACAGGATAGCGTGAATCCTCTGACTGAAAATTGGATTAGTAAACTAGTGTAATAATCTCTTCCTGGGATTCTCTGATATAATAAATCTGAAATTAGTATTTTTGTTTTAATCATATTGATCTTTAAGCTATTCTAATGGAATTGATAATTCGAATCCACTTTGGTAAAAAGGTCTACCTTACATATATTTGGTTGTGTCTGTAAATTATAAAAAAAAATTTCTGTAAGTATTCCATTTTAACCATTATTTTCAAACTTGCAGAGTTTGGTTTGCTAGCATATGTAACATAGTAATATTTAATTTATACCTTGTTAATAATGATTCAATATTATAATTCTGTTTCCTAATGCAGAGAATAATATGAACCAGACGATTTATGAAATCTATCTTCGGGGCTTTGAAAACATCCAAACTTTAAAAGGGTTCTTATTTTTTCTCTTCCTCATGATATGTCTGGCTACGTTAGTTGGGAACCTGCTCATTATAATTTCTGTGGCAACAAGTTATTGTCTTCACTCTCCCATGTTCTTTTTTCTAGGTCACTTGTCATTTTCCGATATCTTACTGACTTTGAACATTGTCCCGAACATGCTATATTTAATACTGCAAGATGGAGCTATTGTTTCTATTTCAGAGTGTATCACACAATATGTTATCTATGGTGCTTCAGCAGCCACTGAGTGTCTTCTTCTCACTGCAATGTCCTATGATCGTTACATTGCTATTTGTAACCCCTTACATTATAGTACTATAATGGACCTCAATCTTAGTCTCTATCTGGTTATATCATCATGGTGTCTAGGTTTTATATTAACATTAGTTCCACTACTTTTTTTTAACACACTTTGGTTTTGTGGTCCCTATATTATTGATCACTTTTTTTGTGATATTGGTCCTCTTTTGGAACTCTCTTGTTCCAGTATAACTATAGTCAAATTTGAAGTATTTACATTATCTAGTATTATAATAGTTGTTCCCTTTTTTTTTATCTCAGTAACTTATGTCAGAATTTTTCTTACAATCATGAGGATTCCTTCCATAACAGGAAAGAAGAAAACTTTCTCTACATGTAGCTCTCACTTGGCTGTAGTGTGCATGTACTATGGTGCACTTTTTGCAGTGTATGTTGCCCCATCTAGAGTCCATTCCATGAACTTCAACAAACTTTTTTCACTGATGTACACTGTGTTGACACCATTATTCAACCCTATTATTTACAGCTTAAGAAACCAGGAAATAAAGGCTGTTCTGATGGAATACCTTGGAATAAAAAGACCCACCATTTAAGTTCATTTTTAATAATATCTGCTGTGTCTGTGTGAGAGTGGGATACACCCTGGGTCATTGGTTCTAGTGTGAGACAAGCTTTAGATTACTGCTGTCTAGCAGGCTATTGCCAGGGCTACTTGAAGCAACTTCGAGTGGGAGATAGGAGATTGCCTGTGTCAATTATCCTTGTATGGAACTATGTTTATGGTACTGATGCATCTATTTACCTATTTAGATTTTGGTGACACTGAAAATTGAGTGAAAGATAGAAGATTGTGTCACTGATCCTAGAGTGAGACAAGGTCATCAATATACAGTATTTTTATTCATTTGTTAATTTTTTGTAGAATTTTTTTTCAAGGAGTGTGCAGTTCAGTGCAAATAAGAAAAGTGTCCCTCTTGTCTAGTTATTTCTTAATTGTCAGACATACAAACTTTGCTAGATAGCCTGCTTTATTCATCCCAGTATGACACTGTTTAGGCTTAGTGGACCCAACTTGAATGATATGGGTGCTGTTCCCCAATTCACCATCATTAGTAGTGCTATAGCTTCTGAGAGTTTAAAGACCTCTTCCTCACCACTATTAGTAGTATTCAGCCTCAGCCTTTCCACCCTTTTCATGGATTACAGCATGTCTGTTAGATGTGCTTCAACACCCAAGAGGAAATTGTTTCTTACCACCTTTTTCATGCTTTTTGTGCTGCTGCTTCCACTATTACTGGAACTCCTTTTACCACTGGTAGGTCAAGGGTTATACCTTATTGGTGTCCTCCCAAAGAGCAATTAAGGGAGAGCCAAGCAAAATCTACTTTTTTTGTGAGGGGTCGTTAAAGCCACTCTTGAATTGAAATGCAAAGTACCAAACTGGTATCCCCAACATCTGTTGTTGGTGGTGGCTGTGATGAATCTGGTGATGAGAATTCTGTTTCGACAACACTGGAATTAGAGTGTGAAAATCACTGGCAGCAGCCCATAATTTCCCCTGAAAGCTAGTGTGCACTTGCCTTCTACATCTTCTCCACTATCTTCATGTCCATCTGTATCTGCTGTAGCATAACTCTAATCCAATGGAGATAATTGTGAAATCAGCTGTAACTACCAACACTAGCATATGTAGCTCACTCACTGTCAGTATTGCCATAACCAGCACCACCACCATCAATGTCAACAATACCGGCAACATCAACATTCCATTAGTATTAATCAACCAACTGCTAGTGCAAAAGTTAGCGTTGTGACAGTTTCCACTGTTTTAGGGGGGGCGGAACTTTTGAAGCAGAGCAAATGTCTGATGCTTGAGCTCTAG